TCATTGGGAAATATTAAATCTAGCATTTGCAAATGTTTATGTGTCTGACTTTGCACTTTAATACTACTATTTCTCTGCAAGAGTTCTGTTATCTAGTAAGTACATAAAACAGGAATACTATCAGTGACTGACAATTATGCAGGAGTATTCTTGTTAAGTATGGCAATACACAAGGGTCTGAGCCCTTCTTTTTTTTCTTGGCTCCAGGCTTGCTTTTTGAGGTATTTTTTGGGATAAGACTCTAACTGACTTATCCAGGAGGTGACTGATGAGTGTCACTGTGTGGCAATCAACATAACTTTGTGGACATTTGAAAGCATTTCCTTTGGAACTCTTTGCCTTCAGAAGAGAGTTCTCAGGAGCTTTTACTATCAGAAGATCTGGTCTGTGAGCAAATAACTCCAGCTTCGTGTGGAAGATTGGGGAATTATACCATCACATACTGTGAAAAACAGGATGCAGGTGAGCACCTCCCAGTTCCCTCTTCTTTGCTGACAAGGTGTGGAAGATGGGAACAAAGGAGTTTCTGCTGAGATCCTAAAGCCAGAAGCTGCCACTCCAAAGAGAGCTGACTCGATCACTTTGGACTTATTTATAGAAGTTGGTACTGTTGCCACTGTTGTCATCATCAACCAAACAACAACCCTTGACAACCCACCATTTCTGAAGATCAGTGTCTGAACTAGGAACCAAACCTAGTGGTGACTCTCTCTCTCCTGCTTTCTGCAAAGACTCCTTGCTTTTATTTCCTGTCTTTATCACCCACCTTCCCTTCTTCATCTCCTTAAACAACTAGGATTTGTAGTAATCTGGTTGGGCTAACATTTCACCCATCGTCCCCTAATCTCGCCATCAGGCATATGTATATTAAAAGAACCTTCTCTCCCTCCCGTATTAGGGAGACAAGGGTACCATATTACAAATAAATACCAGTGGAATGATGATAGAGGTAGAAAGATATAGAGATGTTAATTTAAACTTGTATTTCACTAAATAATACCTCTGGATTTATTTTCGGACTTCATTTTAGTTTGAAAAATTTTCACAAATACTACCCACAGTCTCTGAAAAAATTGGTAAATGTAACACGAAAGAAGTTAAGGCATTCCATCTCCAAAGCTACTTCAACTTCTTCAATGTCTTCCCAGGCTCCTCTGTCAAACAGAGTAACAGAGTGTGTATTTATTACATCAAAGGATAGAAGCACTGGAGGAAGGTCTTGTTATCTGAGCTGGAAGTGCCTTCATGGGATGACAGTGCTAAATAAGCCCCTTTTACAACAAAACAAAGTCCAAAATGGACTCACAAATCACAAGTGTTTAAAATCCAAGAGTAGAAATAGCTTTGTTTTAGATAGATTGTTCTTAGCATTTTGTTTTTTCCTTTTCAAATGTAAGAGGTAAGTTCCAATGACTTAATTACAATATGCAAGTAACTCTTACTGATCAGAAACATCAGTCTACAAAAAGTAGCAAGAAAAATGGACTTGCAACTTAGGAGTTTCAATTTAATTCAACGCTATATAAAAAACAGCACACACTGTTCTAGCCGTGGAGAAGTGCTAGATTCAAAGAAGTAGCTCAGGTCACAGAATCACTTATGCACAGATAGTTATGCTCTAATTATGTGAAGAGGAAGTAATTCTACAATTATTGAAATGGTGCTGACATTTCTGGTGCACTGCTATGGATTCTGAGACAGGAAGTAGGCTTTAATCACACCATATTTTCAAAGCCCTTCTAACTTCCTGTTAGAACTGAGCAATGGAGGATAATTCTGTATTCATTCAACCTCCCTTTTTTACATTTTGAGATAATCAGCATGACTTGACTCATAATTGTTTACAGTATGCTGACATCCAGTTCCAATCAAAGAGAACAGTATCTGTATTTTCACAAATTCTCTTTTCCTTAAAAAATGTGTTTTTGTTTTGTCACAGCCAATTTTCCTTTCTCTTAACAAAATGGAATTTGCAGGACCAGTGGTGCTTGTCATTGATTCTCCCTCATCTGATCTGCTTCTTGCTATTGAGTTGGTTCTCCCAGGAGTTCTGTTCTGCCACAAGCAATTGACAAAGGATCATGCCTTTGAACTAGAAGAACAGTTCCTGTACTGAAATTAAATAAAGAAATCTTTCTAATTTTTCTGTTCAAGAATGCTGCCAGTGTTTTCATATTTAACTGTTGTAGTGGAATTTCAAGGTCTCAGCCTGAACCAGTGGGTGAGCTTCACGAGTACGTGACTGTCTGGAGTGAGCACGGGGGGTTTAGAGTCACCCCTCTGTCTCCATGATATTTCACGTCCCATCTGAGTCTGCACAGGTCCCCATTCCCCCTGCCGTTCTCTGCTGCAGCCCAATGGTACGAACGAGATAGGGTCACATTCCTCTGCTCACCCTTTTCTCTAAACTGTTACCAGGAGGGGTGAGTTAATTCCTCTTGGATATCTTTTCCTATGGCACCTATTTCTCAAATAAAGGCTCTGTCCATTACTTTCGTTTGCTCTACAACTGGTTGAGACTTTGACTGTAGTTCAGAATACACAGGATTCAAAGTTAAAGCTAGGGGTTACCTTATGTGCAAAAACTGACACAGGTGGGCAGCACATTTACTATATGTAGGACAGAGACTTTTCATGCTTTTTTCCCTTTGCAAAAGATAATAATAATTTTTTTTTTTTTTTCCACTAGTTTATCCTCTGGGAAGTTCTTTTCACAAACTGCTGTTCTGAACACTGATTGTTCAACAGTGTTAAGCTCAAGGAGCAGATCAATGCAGAGAATAGATTACTTTGTATTATACTTAGTTATGTCAATATGTTATATCTAGCATGCACTGTGCATTGCTGCAACTTTCTGAAATATCTGTAACATTGCAGTTCTTTACAGTGACTTTGGAGTCTTATTACATATAGTGAGTAAATATTATCATGAAAATTCCCCAAATATCTCTTCTGCATTCACCTGTCATGCTTTTGCTTGCTATCAAAAAATCACATGGAATGTTTATAAAGGATGTTAGGTGCTGAAGATGTATAAATTGTTTCCTTCCATGTAACAGACATGCACACTGACAATTGATTCCTGAGAAGACTATTGACGATAAAATAAGTATTTCACTGAAATAAAACCCAATGCATGTTCAAGGTTTATAGACATTCTATTAGATATAATTCCATACAAAAATGAATTCACACTGCTAAATTTTCAGATGCAGGAAAAAAATAACTGAATGTTTGTGGAGATTTTAACTGGTAGCAAAATACAGGTAGAAGCCCAAAAATTACTTCCTAAGCAATTCCACATTATCTTCAAATCCCTTACAATCTTTCATTCTTATTCTTTAAAAGACAAGTAGCACATTTTTCAGTCAAATTAAATGTTACAGTCTGCAATAACTTAAAACAGAACACTATTTTAACTGTATCTAAATGACATTATTGTAAGAAAAAAAAATTAGTCAAATTGTTGCTCCACCATCAGGGTTTAGGTAATAACACATGACTATTTATAATAACAATAACAATAGTTGTAAAAAAAATCTACAATCTGCACTACTTCTGGGCTATGAAGGCAATCTCTGTATCCAGTACAAGAATTTAGGATCAGCCTATTATTTTTATACCATGATTTATAGTACCGTCATTCAAATCCTGAGCAAAATAAAACTTAACTTCTTACTTTGGCCTCTACCATCTGAAGAAAATAATTTATTTTGCGCTCAGTCATGGTATATGCACTGACACCGAGCACATTACTGCTGTTCTTTGCTCAGTTCATACACACAAACAGAAATAGCTTACAGTACATTTTAGACATAATGGCAGCATAACACCAGCAGGGATTGAACTTGTGATACCTAGCAAAATCATTCACTTAAATTAAAATATTTAGCTCTTTTATCCAAGACTGGAGCAGACCATACCATATGAATTATACAGTTACTAGTAGTGCTGTAAAAATACTACACTGGGAATGATCTTTGCGTAGATATATTTCTATAGGACTTTGGTTTACAATCTCATTCATGTAGGAGACTAAGACACTATGCTGCTGTTAGAGAAAATAGATTTATTGTTCACAAAGAGCTTCTGCAGAGGAATGTTAAAGTCACCTTTAAATCAGTAGTATTAGAGAGATTTAAATCAAAATCTTGTGGCAAAAGTTATTCCAGGTAATCATAATAAAATAAATCAGATATCAATTCCAAATTATGTGCTCTATCTTTTCACTAGTAAAACATTTCTGATTGCTTACACACTGAATAGAAATAAAATATCATCCTTAAAAAAAAAAAAAAAAAAAAAAAAAAAACCAAACAAAAAAAAACCAATCTTTCCAATAATGACCTAGTTCAAGGCAAAGGCAAAGGCAAAGGCAAAGGCAAAGGCAAAGGCAAAGGCAAAGGCAAAGGCAAAGGCAAAGGCAAAGGCAAAAGCTGGACACTGCTCTGAAACGTGGACACTTCACAACTCCTTGGTGCCAGATGGATTGCATCCTGGAGTGCTAAGGGAGTTGGTGGATGTGGTTGCCAAACCACACTCCATCATCCTTCAACAGTCCTGGCTAACTGGGAATGTCCGGGAGGACTGGAGACTGGCAGATATGAAGACCATCTTCAGAAAGGGCCAGGAAGATGATTCTGGTAGCTACAGACCTATCAGTCTCACCTTGGTGCCAAGGAAGGTCGTGAAACGGATAATCTTGTGAGCCACCATGGATCAATTAAAGGTCAGCCACGGGATCAGGCCCAGGCAGTATGGGTCTATGAATGGAAGATCCTGTCTGACAAACCTGATTTCGTTCTATGACAGGGTGACCTGCTTAGTGGATGAAGGTAAGGCTGTTGAAGTGGTCTTCAGTAAAGTCTTTGACACTGCCCACCACAGCATCCTCGTGGAGAAGCTGGCTGCCCCATGTTTTGGATGGGCATTCGCTCTGCTGGATGAAACATTGGCTGGATGGCTGAACTCAAAGAGCTGTGGTCAGTGGAGTTAAATCCGGTTGGAGGCCAGTCACGAGCATTGTCCCTGAGGGCTCTGTTCTAGGTCCGCTTCTATTTAACATCCTGATTAATGATCTTGATGAGGGGATGAGTGCACCCTCAGTAAGTTTGCCGATAACACCAAGTTGGTAGGGAGTGTTGTTCTGCCAGAAGGAGGAAAGGCATTACAGAGGGACCTGAATTGATGAGCCAAGGTACACTGTATGAGTTTCAATAGAATCATGTGTCAGGTCCGGCATTTTGGTCACAACAACCCCAGGCAACCCCAGGCTTAGGGAGGAGTGGCTGGAAAGCCGCCTGACAGAAAGGGACCTTGGTGTGCTGATGGACAGTTGGCTGAATATGAGCCAGCAGTGTGCCCAGGTAGCCAAGAAAGCCGATGGCTTGTATCAGGAATGGTGAGCATTTGAAATCTGTAAGTAAACCAGGAGATGATTAGACGAGCTGTCTGGAATTTGAGGACAGTCAGTTACTGATAAACCATGATGACAGATAGCCAACAATGCTTTCAAAATATCAGTGTGCTTTCCAAATTGTTTTCAGGCACAATATTTCTAAAGACCTATTCTTATGTTTCTTATCTGTCACACTGGTACTTGTAAAATGCTATTGAGATTGTGGTTTGCAGCCTTTAACACATCAGCTAACGTAATTTCGTACTATATAACTAATATGCATTTAATTTCTGGTTAATGCCTTTGAATTACAGTAATAGCACTGAGGACCATTACTGCTGATGGGCACAGAGGCCGGACACATGGGCAGCATGAAAGAAATATAATAGATGTATTAGCTACTGTCAAGTGCAGAGACACTACGATAAACATTAAACTTTACATGAGTACCAATCTAATGTTTTAGTCCATGTTATTGTAAATACTGCAAAGTAGGTTATGTAGAAGATCTATGCTTCAGATTTTTCACATTTCCCTAGCTGCATGTAAGCAATGTATCTTTTCTAATCACAGCTTGATAATTCTGATGACTTCTTCATGCTCTCTTTTTTCCTGTTATCTCAGTTCTGCTTAAGCTAGTTAAATATCAAGTAATCATTGAATCTGAGCAAGCTCTACTAATTCAAGTGAAGAGTTACACAACAACTACTGTACCTGTTACATTGAGTAATGCATATAATTCTTATATGTCAGTATATGGAAAGTTTCTGTGAAGAAGAAACCAAATTCAGCACTTGTATTAAGTAGCTCAAATGTTCAGCAAAGACTCAGTATAAGAATATTTGCATACACATTTACCATTCCTTTAAACAGAGAAAAGTAATATTAGGAAAATGATGTTCTCAACCTCCCTTTATTTTTGTATTTGATCTTAAGAAAACTAACACTAACTCTTTCTGTTATCGTAACTCCAACTCACATATTTCACAGAGTCACAGAACTGTAGGGTCTGGAAGGAACCTCTAGAGATCATCTAGTCCAACTTCCCTACCAAAGCATGCTCCCTTGACCAGGTTGCACAGCTAGGCATCAAGGTGTGTCTTGACATTTCCAGAGAAGGAGACTCCACAGACTCTCTGGGCAGCCTGTTCCAGTGCTCCACTACCCTTACTGTCAAGAAGTTCTTATGCCCATGTGTGTGGAACATCCTGTGCTTCAGTTTGTGGCCATCTCCCCTTGTTTTATCACCAAGCACTGTTGAAAAGAGCCTAGCCTTGTATGTTTGCTTTCCTCACCTTAGATATTTATAGGCACTGACCAGATCCCCCCTGAGTCTTTTTTTCTCAAGGCTGAACAGCCCTAGGTCGCTCAACCTTTCCTCATAAAGAAGGTGCTTCAAGCCTTTTATCACCTTTATGGCCCTCCACTGGACTTCTTCCAGGAGATCCCTGTCTTACTTACCTGTTTCACTTTATGTCTTTGCTAAAACAAGCAACCTAACAATAATAACAGTAACAATGACAACAACAACAACAACAGAAATTATAATAATAATAACAATAATAATTCAACATAGCAAATATTGCACTTACCATATATAAGGCTGGGATGCAGTTCTGCATATACTGGAAATCTCACTTGCATCTTGCCTTCACAAGATTTCCAGAATTTTAGAATAAATATGGGAGCATAAGCTCAGTTGAAGAATTCAGGAGGAATTTCTGATGCTACAGTAATATTCCCACAAGACAGTCAGGATATCATCATTATTTTTAATGAATATTCATACTGAACTTCCAGCTCACAAAAGATGCTATCATTATTTCTTGAAAGGTGGTGGGTTTTTAAATATATTATGACACTTGTTTCCTTTCAAAAGATGTACTTACAGAAATATCTGCATTATTCAGTTCTGATCAGATCCATATGAATACTGTATGCATAATTCCACTCTAAAATAGAAGTCTTCCAGTAGTATAAACATATCATTCTGAAGAGTAATTAGATACAAAAAATAAAATACAATCAATGTTGAGAACTTACAGAAGTGCAGATAAACAAGCGCTCATGACGTGTTTCAAGATGGTTAGAAAAAATCAGAATAGCCTTCTAGATTTTCTCTTCTAGGTTCAGAATATACAATTACAGTTTTTATAATTCAAACTGAGAAAAATGTAGAATCAAGAAGGCTTCAGCAGATCAACAATCATCCTTTAAAATAATTTTGTAAACACATAAAAGCATTTTATTCAAACTTAGACACAGTTCCAAAAATCCTTTTTTTTCCCTCTCTGCAATCATATATACTTGTTTATTTGCTAAAAATCAGTGGATTTTTTATTTTTTTTTTTCCCCAGGAGAAGAGCGCCAGAAGCTGCGGCGCGGCTGCGCGTCGAGCCAGTGTTTGTTGTTTCCGCGGTCTCCGGTTCCCCCTTGTGGCCAATGGGTGGAATTGCGGCCGTGTTTTTTGGCGCCCCAGGCACCAGGGCGCATGCGCACAGGCACGCGGCGATGCTGTTCCTCGCTCTGCGCAGGAAATCCGCCGAGCTTTGTTATGATTAGTCCTCGAGGCAACATAGCACATGCGCCAGGACAGTCATAACTAGCATTCAAATCTACAAAACCTCGAGGTGCATGCGAGCAGTCGATTCCTGGAGCCTGCTTCGGGAACAGACTATTCTGACTCCTAGCACCCTGCGCCCCTCGCACGCGTAGTGAGGAGTCGAAAACAACGCACGCGTAGGTGAGTACTCGAAATTAATCATGCGAAATAACATGCCGGGCCGGGGCTGTTCGCTGCTCTGTTCGCTATTACCTGGAGGACTGATGACCATAGAGAGGCGGCGGATTAGCTGAATAGAGCGGTTAGAACGGCACTTCCGCATTTTGTACGCGCATGCGTTATGGTGCTTGCGGGACGCAGCGGCCGTTCCGCGCATGGGCCAGGAGGTGGCAGCAGAGACCGCAGAAAAAATTTTTCCGACGGGACTGGGGGAGCGGCGGCGCAGTGCCTGGCGATGCGGTGTGTGTGCTGTGAGGGCGGGAGAGGAGCACGAAGTTAGAAGTGGAGGGGTTGAGGGGGGAAAGACGAAGAAGAAAGAAGGAAACTACTCCAAACCCAGGAGAGTGTGCCAAGTGCATATAAATAGCTTTAAAAAAAAAAAAAAAAAAGTTTTTTTTCTTTTTTTCTTCTTTCTTTTTGCCAGCGTCTGTTGCATTGTTTCTAAATGTTGAAATACCAAAATGCAACTGCCCAGCAAATTTAATGTTGATGGGATTAGAGCCCGTTGGCAGAAAGTGCAGGGCCTCTGTCTTGTTTATACTTCCACGTATTTTTCTTCAAAAGCCTTTCTTTCCCTGCGGGTTTCATTTTTGGCTTTTTGTTCTTTTCATGCCATAAAATGGGAAGTTTTAGGTCCTAGCAAGTCTAAGCAGCCAGATCTAGCACAAAGCTGCAGTTTTGAGTTCTGTGTGGACCATGACAGTGTTCCTACAAAGATTAACAAAAACTGCAGTTCTCCCCCTAAGTTTACAGATGGAAAAAATTAATTCACCTGCCTAGAAAGAATTGATGTGTCACAGCTGCCATTGGCAAGATGGCCCAAGAGTTTGTGGGTGCATCTGGCTGTGAGAGGAATGTCTCTGTGGAAGGACAGCTTGTTCCCCACTCTGATGGGGGCAGCTTCTCAGCTGCCCTACCCTGGTCTTCCTGCAGCTGGACAGATAGCCCAGAAGGGCACAGGGTACGCAGACCCTCCCTGGCCAGCTGCAGCAGTCGCTTGTGCCAGCACTCCCTTTCCCCCCGACCATTCCCATTTTGCAGGCTGGAGCCCTGTGTGGCAGAGAAGGAGAGAGCTGCAGGCAGAAGGAAAACAGGGTGCTGGGATTCCTGCAGCTCGCTGCCAGCTGTCTTCTGTGACATTTTGGGGGTGGGCAGGAGACTGTGGGAGCACCCACAAGGCTCTGGGCAGGAGGGAAGGAAGCAAAGATGCAGATGCAGGCAGCAGGCTCTGAGCTGGAGAAGTGCAGCCGGGCACTGTGCAGCTCCCAGTCTGGGCACACGGAGCAAGTTTGTCCAGCTGAGGGCTGCAGGGCTGTCCTTATCAAGCACTCCCCCATTCACACAGGTCTGCAGCGACTGCACCAGTTGCTTGAGCTCTTCCCACTGCAGGAGCTCAGAACTGACAAGAACCCTGACCAAAGCAGGTAATGGCAACTTATGCACACAGATACACACCTGATACAGAATCTGGCACTTGACAGTCCTCCCAAAGCTTCTTGCTGCTTTTTAGGCTGCTCTACAGCTATTCTGTCCTTTTCCCCCTCCTTCCCCTATGTCTTGCCCTTTCCTTCGCCCTGTGCCTTCCCCATGCCTTTTTCAGGCTTTCTCCTTTCTTTCCTCGCTTCCTTCTCTGTGCCTTCCCCCTGTGACGACCCCATGTTCTGCTGCTGTTCTCAGCTGACAATCCTTAAATTGCACTTTTCAAAGACATGGGGTCAGGCTGCATACTATCACTGACTTAAAACAAACAAACAAACAAACAAACAAACAAGTGCAGTATTATGTATAGATAACGAACTCCTGCTTGAAAACCAATAGCATTTCCACATCCTGGAGTGTCACCATCACCCCCAGGTTGGGCTGATGCTGCTCATCTGCCCTGCAGTGCTGCTCAAATGGCACCGGCACCTCCTGGCACGGCCTGCCACCTCCTTGTGTCACCTCTACGTGTCACCTCATCTCACCTCTGCAGTTCTGACCCCACACCTCCACCCCATGTCCCCCCATGTCCTCACATGTCCCTGTGTCCCCACACATCCCCTCATGTCTCAAGTCCCCCCACATCCCCTGCCCCAATTCAGTCCATGCTGATGTCACCATGGGATTGAGGACGGGGGCAGGGATGCCTGTGGGGTGTGTGGAGTCCTGGGACAAGTTGATGACTGTGCACAGGGGGGTGATGGTGCCCTTGGCGCACGGCTGTGACAGGGGGGTGTGAGTCATTGCCCCCAACATGGGGCTTGTGCCCCACGCATGTGGGCAAGTTGTATGGGGAGTGCTTTCTGGAGATGATCTGTCTTTTCTCCAAATCTGCAGCGACTTCAGCAATCCCGCGTCATACCGCAACAGAAATGGGGCACTGCTGTACGTCAGCGATCTCTGACTCAAGCACAGGGGCTGCACGAAGGACACACGCTGCAGCCTCCCTGTTTCTGTGGGGTTTGGGATTGATGTTTGAGCCAAAAGGCCTCGTGCTGCCATACAGGCAGGTGCTGGGTTCACCCACTGAGGACGCCAAATCCTAAAATAATGTCACAGTGGTCTTCAATTGCTGTGCGAGGAGATGACGTGCATTTCTCCCTGGGGAGCTGTAAGCTGACCCCACAGTGTGGCAGACAGCACCAAAATGGGATGCCATCCTGTACTTTCCTACCCTAGTAACTCCTGGTTCTGCTGGTACACCTCTTGTACCTGGAGCTGGCTCTCCATCTGGCTGAGACGTCATCTTTAACACTTCAAAACAAGCCTAAGGAGAAAAGATTTTGGTGATGTGACATGAAAACAGACAGCACAAATACAGACCAGTATGACTGAAGATGTACACGCTGGGTGTTGAATACCATTTGGAAACCAAACCCCAGGTGAGAAGTCTTGTTTTATTTGGTTCATTTTTGCTAATCTCCCGGAGGATCAGGAGGTCAGTAGATGCAAACTAGAGATGCATCACAGGGATATTCAATCAAGGTGATGCAACACATATCTAATTGTTTTTTCATAATTACAATGACTACTAGATATTAACATGATAGTGACTCTCTTCCTAGCTTAATATATGTTAATGCTAAATTTGAAACTGGCATACTAATAAATAGGGCTTCTGAAAGAGGCGTGTTCATAAAACCACGCTTTTGTCTACTTGTTTTTCATTGTAATATCAATATATTGAAACATTTGCACAGGGTCAAGTAATTGTGAGGGGATAAAACAGCACATGAGGTTATAATTACTATATTAGGTAAAGCAGAGCATTATCAGTCTTTATTGTTGTTTTCTTTTTCTTTCCTTCCAGTTACTTGACAGTCCAGGAAATTTCTCACAGTTGAGCCATTGTGTTTTCTTCAGAAGTTAGAAATAAGATTGGCAGAGTCATGTCCGTATTCACCCATGCAGCAAAGTACTGGAAGAACTGCATTATTTCATCCCACTCTTCAGTGAGTTTGTATTATTTACCATGTAAGAACAACTTCTTTGTAATGCCTCCCTTGTAGAAAAGTGACGTGTTTATCTTCATTGCCAACCCTTGATTTCCAGTGCATGTTCAAAATAGTCGATGGGTGAAGGAATGCTGGCTGGTTTTACGCTAAGAAAAAATCCTCCACAAGTTCACATTCAGTACAGTGAATACACTTTTATTTTTGCTAGATGGTCTGCTGGTTTCTCCAGTCATCTTATGTAACACGAGGGAACATTTTGTTGTTTGAATTTCTATAACTGCCTATTTTCTGTGTTCAGAGGAGTAGATTCCCTTACATATGGGGTATTTTTAACTGGGTAATGTAACTCAGAGTAATAACACATAAAAACAATCTTCTGTGTTGGTTGTTTGAAAGAAAGCTGTTTATTCATTAGAAATGTTAGAAACATAATAATCCCATTTGATAGTTTTTCATCAGACTGTGAAGTTCCGAGTAGAAAATAGCACTGAAGTTCAATTGCACGTTGTAAACAAGTTTTAATGACATACACCTTTTTAAATATCCCTCAGTAATGCATGCTATTATTGTCCTCAGGACCACTGGATCACCTTGTCCTAATGGTTCAAAGCATGCAAAAAATCTTTATCTGGAAGAATATGACAACTGAGATTTTTTATTGGTACACAATAGCACAATAAATTCTGTCACCTGTAATTAACTTGATGCCATAGTTCACTGCTGCAGATCTTAATGTAAAGATTGCTGGGGCAATGCTTTCAGGGCCAAAACTTCAGCCAGACTGTTGTGTGTGTGAAGGAAAGCACTGTAAATCTCTGAATTCTGTATGGATGGGGCCTTATAAATATTTCTATAATTAGTCAGAGCACAGTAATTTTTTTTTTTCCTACAGGTTAAATACTGCTGATTAGCTGCTTACTTTTTAGAAAGTTCTCTGTCCTTAGTATTTACACGAGTCTTTTTCTGACCTGCTGTAAGCCCGTTAGTCCAAACCAGATAAGGAGTCTAATTTTAGAGCTGGAGATAGTGTAACATTGTTATTAGTTGATACTTGCTATTACATTGCATTCTAGGATTATGTAATAAACAAAAGAACTGCCTCCTAGAAGAGAATGACTTACTAATTACAATACAGTAGTGGTCTTGTTTGTGGTGTTATTATTGCATAAGTATATCTGCCTTTGCACTGTTAGTTCTAGAAGATAGTGTCTACAGGTATTGCTGACAATTTAAAAAAAAAAATATTACAATTCTTATTTATTCTTGGAAATATATTTCTTTGCTTGCTATGAATCAGTTAATACTGAGCCATGATATTTTGCTGTGCTAGTGCACTTTATTGAATGTATCAAAGTACATAAGACATATTGATATTGTAACAATTAAACACAGAAACAAAGACTGTGTCTAAAAAAGCAATTCGAAAGTTTTAGGAAGGAAGGACTATTATAGAATTCTGAGACTGCTTGATACAAGAAGAAAGTGGTTTAGGCAGATTCACATCATTTGACTTAACACACTCATTCTATATAAAAGAATTTAATCTCAAAGACTGGCAAGCTGAATTTTTAACAGGAACACTACTACGCAAATCAAAGAGCAATTCTGTTATCATGCTATGTACTAACTGCCAGACACTTGTTTGCCTTACAAAATATGCATTAATTTATCAAATTACCCCGCAAAATAAACAAAACTGAAGAAAACCTATGCATTTAAAATGGTTAGGATTTGACAAAGAAAAAATAGAAAATGTTCAAAAGTAGCGAATCCAATTTTTGTTTCTTCAGCCACAAGCTCATTTCAGGGAAAAGCTATTAGATACTGCTATGTAAAGAAAATGCAATTTATACTGTTCAGTGTTACAAAAAAGAACTAATTTTGAAAAGAGAACTAGTGGATTTCATGATGGCATAACTACATGAGCGGATGAGGAAAATGCTTGATGTCATCTATCTTAATGTCAGTAGAGACTTGGACATAGTCCCCATCATATCTTTCTTTTCAAATTCAAAATGTGTGGATTTGAAAGGTGGACTGATGAACAAAGTTTAGTCTAGTCATACCTTGAGAGTGGTGGTCATTGGCTCAATGTCTGGCTAGAGAAAGTAACAAGTGGTGCTCCTCAGGGGTCAGTACTGGGACCAATGCTCTTTAATATCTTCAGCAGTGACACTGACAGTGGGATCAAGTACATTCTCATCAAGTTTGTGGATGACAACAAGCTATGTGATAAGGTCAAGATGACTGAGGGATGGGATGCCACTCAGAGAGACTTAGACAGCCTTTGTCAGTGGGACAAGGAGAAGCTCATGAGGTTCAAAAAATCCAAGTGCAAGATACTGCACATGGGTAATGGCAACCAACCCCTTGTATCAGTACAAGTTGAAGGAGGTAAGGACAGAGAACAGCCCTGCCACAATGGGCATAGGGATACTAGTAAATAGCAAGTGGACATGAACTAGCAGTGTGTACCCTCACAGCCCAGAAAGCCACTCCTGTCCTGGACTGCACCAAAAGAATCGTGGTCAGCAGGTCAAGGTAGATGATCCTGCCCCTCTGCTCTGCATTGGTGACACCACATCTGGAGTGCTCCATCCTGACGTGGAGTTCTCGAGTACAGGAGAGGCATGGATCTGTTAGAGCATGAGCAGAAATGGAATACCTCCTCTGTGAGGACAGGCTGAAAGAGCTGGGACTGTTCAGCCTGGAAAAGAGAAGGCTCTGGGGAGATGTGATAGTAGCCTTTCAGTATCTAAAGGAGGGCTATATGGAGAAGAGGACAGACTCTTCAGCAAGGTCTGTTGCAATAGGACAAATGTAAATGGTTTTAAAATATAAAAGGATAAATTCACATTAGATACAAAGAAGTTTTTTTTTTTACTATGAAGGTGGTGAGGCACTGAAAGAAATCACCCAGGGAGGTGGTGGATGGATCACCTGTCCTTGGAGACATTCAAGATCAGGCTGGCCCACACTCTGAGCAACTTGTTCATATTCATTTCAAGGGAGTTGGATTACATGACTTTCTAACTCAGAAGATTCTGTAATTTTATGATAATATTAAACTCAAGTAATATAAGTTACCCATCAAAGATATTTATTTCTTGCATTTAATTTTTGTATGAACCAGTTAACACTGAGCTAAGCGAAGGTCACCGAAATATTTCTAGAGTTTAGGCATTTTGAAACATTGGTCACACTTCTTAAAGTATAAATTTACGGATCTATATCTATACTTAGAATCAGAGATAAATGTTTGGGGTTTTTTTTTTTTTTCTGATAATATCTTCCTCTCTCCAGTTGCCACACACTTTCTCTCTCTTAAAAAAAAAAAAAAAAAAAAGTGTTTAATTTATGTATTATTTATAAACATACAGGGATGTTTTCATCTTTGCAGACACTAATAGATAGCTGATTCCAAGGCACACATGTCCTTAACCAAAGTTAAAACAGGATCACGACTTTCTCTCTGTTTTATTAACAGCAATTCTGTAATAGTTTTATAGCACCTTCCTGAATCAGTATATCAGTATCACACATTCTGCTTGGCTAACGAGCTTCTTTTTGCAGAACCTTAATCCAAAAACAATAAAAGTGGAAAGAAATTCCGTTTCACTTTAGCAGACACTGAAATATATATATAAAAAAATTCTCCTTCTTGATATTTTGCCTACTTTTTTGTAACTAACTTTTTTGACTATGTAACTGTATCATAACACTACAAAAATAATATCCACTGTACTGTTTGCACACTGTTTTGAAATGTAGTATTTATGATAAATGAATTTTACATGAAACCATTCTATTAAGCATGTTAAAATAACTGAAATTTGATTTGTCCCAAGAAAACATATGAAACTAAGCTTCTGCTTGGCTTTAAGATGCACACACATTATTTCTTTGACTTGGAAAGACAAGCATGTGTGATACTTTACTGAGTACTGAGTTATTTCAGCTTTCTGGGAGCTGTATACTAATGCTGTGTCGTCAGAAAACTTCTGAAATGAGGGTTTGATACTCCAACATCAGCGAACAGCATAGTGCTACTGATCTGTAACCTCTCAGCAGCAAAATGGAGAAATCCATGTAATTGATTCAGTGTCTATGAGGAGAAGCAACACCTTTTAATACACCACCTCAGAGAGCTGGCAGAAAAAATAGACAAATTTTATTTTACCTGCTTCATCGAAGTACAATGGAATACAATGGAATTTGAGAGAAGAATGAACTCCTTTATATTGCAGATGGAAGGACAGAAGGAATTATTTCAGATTTTCCCGAGGCTCAGCCTTCATCACAATATAAGATATCCAGTTGTATCACCACCATCCCTGCAACTCTCTTCCTACTCTCAAGTTTACTGGATTTCTTGTTATTTATTGATTTCCAACTTCCAAGGTCTGTGTAAGATACCTTTCTGGTTAAGCTCCTGTACTGATCTCTCTCTTTTTTTATTATTATTTTTTATTTTTTTCTTCTGTAAATTAATGCTAGTTAGTGATTGCTACTTGGGTCACTATCATCTTCTGCTCTCTCATCCCAAGTGTATTACAAGAATGAAAAACTATTTATGGTTGAACAGTACTAACTCTGTCTTCCTTTACTGCACTTACCTGAAGTGCTCTAAAAGGACTCAATGAAGGACAGGGAAGTATTTTCAAATTATAGCTGTGAGTGATGACCAGAGAATAAGAAACGTCCGACCTGAAATTAGAGGAGCTGTTGACACTGGCTACAATTCTGAATAGTAGTTCAAAGCCAAAGTAGAAACAATAATATTATGTCATTCACTGGGAAAAAAAAAAATAAAAAATCCACTGTTAGATTTTTAGCAAATAAACAAGTATATATGATTGCAGAGAGGGAAAAAAAAGGATTTTTGGAACTGTGTCTAAGTTTGAATAAAATGCTTTTATGTGTTTACAAAATTATTTTAAAGGATGATTGTTGATCTGCTGAAGCCTTCTTGATTCTACATTTTTCTCAGTTTGAATTATAAAAACTGTAATTGTATATTCTGAACCTAGAAGAGAAAATCTAGAAGGCTATTCTGATTTTTTCTAACCATCTTGAAACACGTCATGAGCGCTTGTTTATCTGCACTTCTGTAAGTTCTCAACATTGATTGTATTTTATTTTTTGTATCTAATTACTCTTCAGAATGATATGTTTATACTACTGGAAGACTTCTATTTTAGAGTGGAATTATGCATACAGTATTCATATGGATCTGATCAGAACTGAATAATGCAGATATTTCTGTAAGTACATCTTTTGAAAGGAAACAAGTGTCATAATATATTTAAAAACCCACCACCTTTCAAGAAATAATGATAGCATCTTTTGTGAGCTGGAAGTTCAGTATGAATATTCATTAAAAATAATGATGATATCCTGACTGTCTTGTGGGAATATTACTGTAGCATCAGAAATTCCTCCTGAATTCTTCAACTGAGCTTATGCTCCCATATTTATTCTAAAATTCTGGAAATCTTGTGAAGGCAAGATGCAAGTGAGATTTCCAGTATATGCAGAACTGCATCCCAGCCTTATATATGGTAAGTGCAATATTTGCTATGTTGAATTATTATTGTTATTATTATTATAATTTCTGTTGTTGTTGTTGTTGTCATTGTTACTGTTATTATTGTTAGGTTGCTTGTTTTAGCAAAGACATAAAGTGAAACAGGTAAGTAAGACAGGGATCTCCTGGAAGAAGTCCAGTGGAGGGCCATAAAGGTGATAAAAGGCTTGAAGCACCTTCTTTATGAGGAAAGGTTGAGCGACCTAGGGCTGTTCAGCCTTGAGAAAAAAAGACTCAGGGGGGATCTGGTCAGTGCCTATAAATATCTAAGGTGAGGAAAGCAAACATACAAGGCTAGG